TTATTTGAATTTCAAGAGAATAACAGACACTAAATTTAATTGATCAAATTGATAAGCGATGTCTGTGTGTGTTTTTTTTGTTTTTTTTTGTTTTTTTTTTTGTTTTTTTTTGTTTTTTTTGTTTTGTTTTTTTTTTTGTTTTTTTTTTTTTTTTGTTTTTTTTTTTTTGTTTTTTTGGTTAATCTTGTGTATCTTGACTAAAAACGTAAAAACGAAAAAGCAAAATTTAAAAAAAAAAAGGCAAATGAAAAATAAATAAATCTTAAAATAGAAAGAAAAAATGAGGTGGTGAGGGGGGGGATGCATTTTCTCTTTCAGTTGTGGCTAACTGTAATATAAAACGAACATTAGCAAATGAAGAAAAAAAGGGGGAAAAAATTAGACTTAGACATTTTATACAATATTATGAAAGATTATGAGCCCATGATGTCCTCGCTATAGTCCAAAACTATTTGCCCGAAATAAAATTATTAAACCTAAAATCAGAAAATGAAACTATAGGCCTATATGTTGAAAGCGGAACGAGTCTGATTTTAAATTCTACAGCTTCGCTGTTGATGTTCGACTTGATCAGCATCAGCTTTACCCAGTGTTACCGTGTTTAGTTTTAATTTATTGCAGTTTATTTAAAGACAATCAATTCAGGATTTCAAATTACTCTTGAAAATGATCACTGGTCGTTATCTTTACATTTCATTACGAACAGTTTTCCTTAGAGTGTTGCACCAAGGTGAAAGCGAAGAAGAGAGGATTTAGAAGTCCGTATGGCTTTCGCCACTTCATCTTTTATGACATGGCTATAAATAAAGTTTCGTTTGTTGCTGCATTAATGTTTTTCTTATTCATGTTGACAAAATGCAATTGCAGCTATGTTAGCGTCAGTGAACTTGATTCGAATATTTAGTCCGACGACAAACTCCCTGGACATTGAGAGTAATTGCGACTTCTCGGGCATGTGTAAATGTACTAAGGTGTCCTTGACACCCTTCTTTTTTTATAAACATTGAAATAAATATAGAACTATTTATCTGTAGAGTCTGAAGTTCTGCTAGAAAGACACAAGACGTGATTGCCTTCAGAGCTTAATTAGGAAAAAACGTACATGGAAATGTACAATTATTGACAGCTCATGAATGAAAACTAACAAGAACTGTCAAAATTTTAAATAATTTATACATAATTAAAAAAAATTACCAGTAAATCCATTAATAGAGAACGTTTTTCAATTTTAATTTGGATAGTAATATGCGCGTTTATTAATTTTTTACATTACGTAATACGTAAGCATATTCTTGTGTTGCTTTATCGCAAGAGGATTTCTCTTCTGCAGACAAAACGAGACGTCACGTCTTTGAAGCGCTATTGTGACGTAATTACGTTTATTTCACGAAGGTCCCTTTTTGCTTGACGCAACATATATATATATATATATATATATATATATATATATATATATATATATATATATATATATATATATATATATACATATATGCTTATTAAAGATTGAATGAGTGTACTTGGAATGTTTTGCGTGCAAAAATTGATGGCAACAACAACGTGTCTTTTTAATGGACTTATGAGAAACTGTAGCTTATCAAATAAACAAAGTGCTTCATCAAAATTTACCGTGGTTAATGCATAGTTCACATATCACATAAAGGATTTTTCAGATACTAAATGATTTAGTTGTGTTCCCATGTATAAGATATGTAATTATTGATAACTTGGAAATTATCATTAAATCCTGCAAGGTCTTTTTTTAAAAAATAATAATTAAAACTTAGCAACGCAAGAAACTTTTATTCTTCTTATGTAACTTGTTTTACTTTTGTAATTTTCTAATGGGTTTCCGACTTCTAGATATGGTCCATGATTTCATATATCTATGGCAAACAGATTAATATGTATGTTGTTTTATTTGTTTCTTATACTCACAGTTCACTTTTACGAAAGCCCATTGAGCTCATTTTGGTAGGTAAAAAAAAAATATATTTTTCGCGTTATAACGCGAAACTTTCGAGAATAAACGCGCAACTTTCGCGTTATATCGGGAAACTTTCGCATTCTATCGCGAAAGTTACTCGTTTATTCGCGAAAAATTCGCGGTATAACGCGAAAGTTACGCGTTTATTCGCGAAGGTTTCGCGTTATAACGCGAAAAATATATTTTTTTTTACCTACCAAAATGAGCTCAATGGGCTTTTGTACACTTTCTAAGGATGAAATTCTTCAAAATCACGTTTCAGTCTTTTTAAAAACTTTTAACATTTTAGTCAACCAAGGTGAGTTCGATCTACCCTACCTAAAATGGATTCTTGAACTTCATAAAAATTAGGGATGTCAACGAATATTCGATTATTCGAATATTCATTCGATGGGTTGATATTCGAATAATAATTTACGATTTGAATATTCGGTTTTTTCCCAGATTTCACAAAAAAGAGATAACTATGATTAATTTCGAGGACAAAAAAATGAAACCCTTCTTTGTCAGTCTTAAACATGTGAAGAATTTACTTGAAAAAGTAAATTTCATTAATCATTGAATTACTTCTTTTATAGAATTAGTCTGTAATACAGTAAAGGGATCAATTTCAGAAGAAATTGCGTTAATTACTTCATTATCTCGGGTTGTACATATTCCAAATTTTAAAAATTATTTTCGGGACAATAGTTCTTTTACCTACGAAAACTGTCCTTGAAAGTGTCTGTTTATGTTTTGAAAACATTGAACTAAGGATTATAATTACAACTCTTATTGGGTAGATAATTGTAATTAATTACACTCATTTAAATCAGAACAGTATACGACAATCTTGCCCTTGGTGAGACGATCGGTTCATCGTTTAGAGCTTCAAGATATATTTTTTAGAATGATATTTCGGATGTTTACATGTACACTCAAATCAATATATTTATTTCATACATCGACAAATAACAAATGTAAAATTCTTTACTGTACACCTATAAAATTCTACACCCAATTTTCTTCCAAATCTGTCATGAGGATAAGATGATACATATATTAAATATCTAAATTTTATCGAATATTCGAATATATTCGAATACTTTCATTGAATATTCGAATATGAATTATTGACAAAATTGACATCCCTAATAAAAATCATTACAAAAATACATTGCTTGGTCTAGCAAATTAAATGATATACTAAGCACCTATCCTTACTCCTCACAAAAATATTAACTGCTATAAAAGAGAATCTTCAGACGTACTGTGCTACAGCATAATCGAGAAGTGGTGTAAATGAGATGTGGACTCTCAAAAACTCCAAAGAACTTCTAGAAAATTTAAAATCACAAATTTTTCATAAGTCAGTTACATCAACACGAAGGACTTTTATACACTTTATACAACCATTCCTCACGATAAATTGAAAATTATCCTTGTTGATATCATAGAAAACTGCTTCTTCAATAAAAATGGAACTCGGAAATTTTCATATCTTGTGATTGGTCATCAACAAAATTATTTGGTTAAAAATCACTCTGATTCCAAACACAAGTACACAAGTTGATATTAAAAGGATGCTGGAGTTTGTCATTGACAACATCTATGTAATCTTCAGAGACCAGGTCTTCCAATAATCGTTGGAATTCCCATGGGCACTAATTATGCTCCTTTATTAGCCGACCTGATTTACATTCCAATGAACTAGCAATTATTCAAGAATTCTACGTGAGAAGAAAAAATATATAGTTGTGGCCTTCAACTCCCCTTTCAGATATTTCAACGACATTTTATCAATTAACAATAATTTCTTCCATTTATATGTCGACTTGATATTTTCCAATGAACTCGAAATAAAAGATAACACAGAGTCTGCCACATCTCTTTCATATTTGGATGTTTTACTGACTAGAGACGATAAGGGCAAACTAATAACTAAAGTGGATGACAGACGAGACGACTTTTGCTTTTCCAGCCTCAACTTTCCTTATTTATTTAAAAAAAAACTTCGCTTTCACCTGCATATGGTGTTAACCTTTCCCGACTTATTCGATACTTAAAATCATGCTCTGGGAACGATTAATTTTTAAACCGAGACAGACTATTGACATAAAAGTTGATGTTACAGGGATTTCAACAATCACGTTTTCATTCTAGCAATTTATTTTAAAATAATGATGTTCACACTTATACATGTATATACTTGTATTTGCCCATTCTAAATGAATGGTGTTCGTTATTTATATAATTTTTGAACACAGTGCAAAAAAAAATTATTATCATTGACTTTTTTCTGAACGTGAACCAACAAAATAACTAACTTCTTCTATTCTGCTGCATTTAACTAGAAACAAGCTTCCAAATTTCTTAGAAAATGTTTGGGGATTGTAAATCATTTACATTCATTGGATATGTTTCAAATGATGTATTAAACAATCCTGATCGATGTGATTGTCGCTTCTGTTGTAGAACAATGATACCCTGTCCATTTCGGGGATGTTTGACTGTTGAACAGCATTCTAATTGAGATTTCACATTATCAAAGGTAAATCTCCTTTTCCTAGTGAATACAGGTTATGGGATATTTTTTGTATATTCCACACTCTGTATTCCTACGCCATATAACGTCATGTAAATAAATAAATATGTGTGCCTTTTTAATACATGAAAAATTGGGGGGAAATCCTTGGTACTTAAATTGAAATAATGAAATAGATATAGAAACTGAAAAGAATAGCTCTTTTTATTTTAGCGGGTTATATTTTTGATAAGTCATGAGGTTTAAAACAACTGAGAGGAAAGGGGTAAAAGAGGTAAAGGAATTAAAACTATAATGCTTTATAAAATGTTATTGAAATGTCCTATGCAATAGAATTTAATCAAATTTATCCACTTGTTTGTCTTTTATTCTATTGCCAACAATTTCAGGTTTGAAAATGTACAACTAATCATATCCCAACACAAAATATGACAGAATTTAAACGTTTGCAATTGAAATGTTAAGAACAAAACAATGGTAAATGATATAAGTTTTTATTCGTATAATTTTTTTAAACAGGCGTGGGATTTCATTCATTATCAAAGACGAGTTATCTCTGACTTATTATTCTTGTCACCGTTCAAGTCATGCGACGTATTTATCTCATTATTTTTATTCGGTAAATACAATCGTAAATTATCTCTTCTGTGTTTTGTTCTCTGTAGAAAAATAGAAGTGTCATTATTTCTACTGGATTGACATACTTCAACTGATTTTGTTTCATTTTCAAAATCGTTTTTGTCATCAAAGGAGTCAACAATGGTCCTTTTTGGTACATCAAAATCACGTGACTGGACTTTAAAGGAGGAGGACAATTTTACATGGCCTATAATCTCTTCCATTACTTCATCATCAAAGGCTCTATTTACATTTCCACCATGATTTGCTGTATCAATCATCTTATTCAATCTATCACTCGTGTCTCCATTTTCCACACCATCAACAGTAATTGTACCTTCTCCGTTGAAATGCTGTGCCTTTTCCTCGGTTACTGATATATCAATGTCGATATTCATATTTGGGTCTTTCGCCCATTCTTGTTCCAGCCCACTGCCGAAGAGAACGAAGGCCAGGGCTCCTGCCAGACCCACCCCAGAACAGATGAAGAAGACAGTCTGCCACTCAGCCTGTGTGCCCTAAGATGAACATATTTGAAAGAAAAGTTTCAGTATTATTTTTTATGTTTTTAATGCAAATTATCTCAAGATCCATATAACTTGAGGTGAAACATATGTATCTATCTTAATAATCTGACTTCTGAATACAAAGTACTTCTTTTTCTTGAAGGATGAATTTTCTCTCTTTGAAATCTCCCCTTGCAATATGTTTTTCAAATTGTTATTTCAGTCGCTGGTTATATGCTGATTTACCTTTGCGATTTTGCGGATTACACATGCAAGAAACCAGTACAAATATAACAGTAAGTGGTTGTACAACATTTACATTACGAAAGAGACTGTTTGGCAGAAAAGTTTATAAATCTTACATGAACTTAAATTATATATATTAGGTTTACAAAAAATTTCAAATTGTTTATCTCCATACAATAAAATTTAAGTAATATTAAAACATTATTGATAAAATTAAAGTTATAAATAATATCTTCAAGATTCGTGAATACTGTTTCTTTTTTAATTTTATGATAGATTACACCTGTATTTCTTTGCTCAGAATGTAGATTAACTTGTGCTCTGTTTCTCTCCAAACGCAAAAAATAAATTTGACAGAAAAGAATTTCTGGAAATTTGGCAAATTTTCTATCTATTTTACTAGCTGCAGAACTATAGTTCTCTGGTTGAGAAAATTCGGACAGACGAACAAGAGACCTTCAGATTCAAGAATTTTAAAAACCTTCCATTGACGGCGCAAATTTTTGAATTCGATACATAAGACATTGGCGTGTTATTTTAGCTTGACTGCAACATGGGCGTCGGAATGCGAATTTTAAAAACTGGAATTCCAAGGCCATATGGGTGATTTATAACTATTGAAAAGTAAATAAAATAACAAAGATGAGGAGAAAATATATGGTTAATTAACGGATTCCATGCTTTTAGCGGGGGGCGAGGGCACAATACAAAAAATAATATCCAAAGCAGGGACAAAAAAATCGGCGCCATAAATCAAAGGTTTTTACAATGCTTGGATCTCTGTGCTTTGTCTGGCCGAAACTTCTAAACCAGAGAGTTACAGTTCTGCAGGTACTATTGTACATGTATATGCTATCTCTTAGGGTGAATATTTGTTTTGAAAAGAGTATCATTAAAGGGGTAGTATATACGAGAATATCTGAACTATAATCCAAACAAATTAACAAACGACTATTTGCAGCCTCCTGTTACAATAATAAGATCATTTTTTACTTACGTTTTTAGTCAATTCCGATGTAATTATGGGTGATATAAGAGCAGCAACTGACGCCATAGTGGCAGTCATACCATTCAAAACACCAGCAAATCTAAATGGGAGATAGATTATTATTAGTGCAATAAGAAGAGATAAAAGAATATTCCTAATACATATCATTAGTACAGTAAAAAAAAATGACTGTTTGTACATGTCATCAGCAAGAAACAACAAAACGTGTTTGTGTAACACGACAACAATAAGACTGTTTGTACAAGACAACAATACAGTAAGAAATAATTACATATTTATATGATACGATGTCAGTGCATGTAGTTTTAAGAAATTAAATCATCTTTTGTGTGGATATTTTTATGTTGAAACAGATTAACTTATGAATTTGATCTCTCTGTCTCAATCACCTTCAGCACTGTCACATAATTCAGCAATGACATAACATCACATTCGCAATTAACAAGTATTTCAAGATTGAAGTTTATTTACTCACATGATTTTCTCGTAGACTCACTCTTAAGATTAATACAAATATCTCTCTCTCTCTCTCTCTCTCTCTCTCTCTCTCTCTCTCTCTCAGCTACCTTGGTGCGATATCGATGTGGTTTACACGGAAGCCTGAGTTATTCAAAGATTGAACCGTCCAGTATGTCACAAGTAAAATGACAGCGGTTGTCCTCTCCGACTGTTCCATGTAACTCATCCAAATCAAAAAGGGCGTAGACAACACTATACCTGTGCAAAATATCATCTCATTAGATAGAACTACATGTACATCTTGATACATGTTGTTGGTAAGACAGAATAATTTGTTTGCGGTGTAGTATGTGATAATACAACTTAATTTATATATGTATTGATTCTATTATACTTCTTCATACATTTGTGTCACCCGAATGGTGCAGTGATTAGAGCGTTTGCTCTAGAGTAGCGGTGTAAGGAGTTGATCCTTACATGTACGTCGCCGGTTAGAATCCCACCGTGGGACGTGGAGACCGATCCTTCGGATGAGACCGTATATACCGAGATGTCGCACTAGGTGCTGGCACGAAAAAGATTCCTCACTGCTCAATGGCCCTAAGTGCCTAGTATAGGTCTAAATTTGCAGCCCTCCCCCGGAAAGTGTTGGCTTCTCAATATGAGTGAAAAATTCTCGAGAGAGACGTTAAACAACAAACAAACAAACAATTATACATTCGTTTTGTTTAATTGAATCTGAAATATTATAAAGCCACACGTTACATTTAAGTTAGTTGAGTAATCTTTTTATTGCTTTTTCTTCAAATTATTGACTACTTCCAAAATCCATAAATGTATAAATTATCCACATATTTATTTCAAATAAATTAACATTTTAAAGCCTTCATCCAGCTTCTCACATCAGCATTTAATTTGTGGACAACACTTTTCATGAATATATGAACTAAATGGATATCATTGAATTTTTTTCTTCAAAAAATAAATTACATTGGTTTATAATTATATCAATTCCTATATTTATCGTGATAAATCATTTACATTTCCAAATCAATAAGTTTTACCAGACGCATGAAAAATCTTTCTGGTAGCGGTTACCGAAAGATATTCCTTAGTCATCAAGTTGTCTGCCAATATTCCACTTCCGATGGCCGCAATAAATCGGCCAATGAATGGGAGAGAAGACAGCAAACCATTCTGTAAACATATGAAAATATTACGTCATGACTATAGTCACTTCATTACAACTTCAGTTAAATTGATGAATGCATTTTAATATGTTATTCACACCGTGGCTATATCAAACTTCAAAACATCGCTCATATATAAAGGAAGAAAAGTTCCGATTGTGGTAAACAGGAAGGCATGTGACATATGGGCCATCAGCAGTCCCCAAAAAGGACCAGAGGTCAAGATTTTCAACCAAGGAGGCGAAGGCATCTAAAAATAGATAAATTCCAGTGGTTATATATTATGTTCGAATCTTGTCAATTTTATGAGAATTAGGAGTTTACATATCAGCTTATAAATGGCAAAGAAAATATATATGAAATACCGGTAGTCTGCTATTAAAATTATATCTTCGATGCCTATTGATTTTAATTATATCAATAAATCTTTTTACATAAAATAGACTAATCAAAAACATACCTTTTCTAGTGTACTGTATCTCCTTTTATAATTGATGAGGGCCCTTTCTTTCCACGTTATTCTTGGGTGGTCGTCTGGTCTGTCATACACAATACACACCCACAACAACAGAGAGAGCACATTGAGTATACCTACATATACAAGACACACAAAATAACAGAGAGAGAACGTTGAATATACATACATACACAAGACACCCTCATATTAACAAAAAAATATATGTCAATTAATGTTAAATACCTCAATTCTGATCCTTTACAAATAAAGTTAAAAATTATATTTTTTAAATTTACATGTATCTACTCTTATTTCTTAAATTTATAAAAATTTCATGAACAATGGCGGATGAAAATATGCATAAAGCAGAGTAAAATTTGAAGTCTGCATTCAACTCACAGAAGACATAGAAAATGAAAGGCCATCCGTTATGAATTGGAATTGTACACAATATTCCCGATAAAGAGAATGTAAATATGGAACCAATCATCAAACCTGAAAGAATCATGTATCATTTTAAATTTAGATGCTTAGATGCTAAGGCCAAATAAAAAAATATGTGTGGTTCCGGTTACCCGACCGTCCCTATTTTATACCCCCGGCCCTAAACTTTTTTCCGGCAATTTTCATATTTATTCCAGAATTTTCCCCGATTTCCATCATGGGCTCCAGTATTAGTTTTAGTTTCAGCAATATTGGCCTCCTTGCAAAACATCATTTCAACAAGCAAGTCTTTAATAGTGTCAAATCCAAAGCAATCTAGCATGTAGGTGTCCCCTACCAATGTTGACTAGTATATTATAATGCCACATCTAAATGCCACTTGCAAAACATTGATAGGTATTATTTAGAAAAACTAAGAAAATCATTTTGTAAAAAAAAAAAAAAAACCCTACCTACCTTCCCTAATTTTTTGGAGGTGTAACCGGAACCACACATATTTTTTTGTTTGGCCTAAGTGGTTTTCTTGGAATATTTAGATCTTTATTCTAATGTTAGAAAACATCCAATTAATATTCCTGTATACCTGCATTTGCGACAGCGACTATTTGCGCACGCTCAGATAACGGTGCCCACTTAGAAACAATAGCCGTTATACTAGGTTGCAGACCTCCCTATTCAAATGAGAGAAATATATGTAATGTAACTCATGCAAATAGTTAAAGATAATGATTGTTATTTCAAACATTTTTTGCATTTATGTTAAAAATCTACATTTTAAATAAAGTATAGTAAAAAGATTTTAAAAAATAATGGTATTGATTTAAGATTCTTTTAATGGAATAAAATATAGTAAGAAAAATATTATCATGTTACATTTTTGTGCTTTTAATCAATAGCCAATTCAATTTAAATTTCAGATTTAACATTAAAATAGATTGAAAATAAAAATTATTTGTAAGATCTTATTTACCGAGGATAATCCTATCAAACAACGTAAGACCACAACAATGTATGGACTGACTGTAGAGGCAATGGGTGTGACAACGGACAAGGTAATCAGACACAGCGTCATCACAATCACTACCATCTTCCCGCTAAATCTTCCGGACAGATACCCGCTAATTAAAGGCGTTATGGGAAAGGTGTAGAAATATGATTGTAAAATCAGCCCCTCCATTTCATTGTCCCAAACAATGTCCCAAAGCTGGGAAAAAGGAAAAGGAATACTAGTAAATGAAGATAATTTGATAGATATCCACATCAACTTGGTGTGGCAGCAATTGCAAATGCTTTCATGTTGCTCTTAATCAAATATAAATGATTACTTTCATATTTATTCACTAAAATTAACTCTGACATCTTTTACCCCTCTCTGTGTTCTCCAATTTCTTGTTACATTTGAGTTGTTTCCCATGTCAACAAAGTTTGTGGCAGCGTTGTAGTTGGATTCCATGCAAACGACTGCCATACTCATACACTGACGTAACATAATAGAACACGTGACGGTTATAAAACACGAAAACGTCACTATCCAGCGACATGATGTGTATTTTTCTACGAGACCTTGATTCAAGAGTTCTTTAGAACTGTAGAGTGGAGCTGTGGAGGAATTTCGAAACGATGTCAGAGATCCTTGGTGATCTTTTCCGTTGGTATGAATCTCGTTTGTGAAGGAAACTGTTGATGGCCTCTTTGTTAACCCATTAGGGGAACCTTCCTCATCTAAAATAAGGTTTTATGAAAGCTACTCAAATTCAATCGTCAAAAAATATTTTATCGGGTGAATTGAAATTGTATGTGATGTACCATTAATGGGGTAAATCCTGGTGTATAGGTTATTCACTCATAGACCTAATTTTTGGCAAAGCCGGGATTAATTTGTATGTGGGTGATTTAAAAAAAATGACCAAACGCCTATTTATCAACCCACACTAAAAATACAGGCAATGAAAATAAATTTCTATGTCTCCGCATATGTCTTTAGATAGTGTTTAAATACCTGCCAAATATCGCGTTGATATCTCAATTAACAAAAAAGTTATGCCCATAATGATGCTAAAATTGTCAGGAGTGCAACACCTTTTTGTGACATTTTGAAATTTCAATATTTTTTGGAGATCAGAGAAATAAATAATAATGCTTTATGTTGAAAATAAAGACCTTTCTGATAATATTCAAAGTATTGAGCTTTAAATGTGGACTGTATTAACTTTTGTTTAATCAAGTTGTGCTCATGGCTGATGTTTAAAAATATGTTATACCATGTCAGGAGTGCAACAGAAAAAATGCAGTGCTACAAAAAAAAACATCAATTGTAAAATTTTGAAAAACAATTAAGACAAAAAAGAATTTTCAAAGAGTAAAACAATAACTAATATACATTTTAAAACTTTAAATGTTATATAAATCACAAGCAGCATTAATGAGAGTCAGGTATATGTGCATATCCAATAATGTCAGGAGTGCAATATTTGATGTTCTGCTCCCAAGCATGAAAAACTATTTTCATTATATGATTTTCTGATTTTTATTTACGAAAATAAAGACACAAAGAACATTTTTACCAAATAGATTTATCATTTACAGGATCTGTCTGTGCTTCAGATCTATATTTCTATGGTCAGGAGTGCAACACATTTTTTTTAAAGATTCAAGTTGTGTGACGAAAACACTTCCATTCATGCTTAGAAGTATTCATTAATTAATAATGATCTTTTTGTATAATTTAATACTATTTTATTGACAGTTTTATTATTAAAATTCTTCATTTTTCAATTTTATCAACTCAGATGTGTTTTTATCTTTTTTGTGATTTTTTAATGAATGTTAAAAATAAACACGCTAATAAATTGTCATAAAATTCAAGTAATTCCTCCTCAACTTCACTAAAACAACAGAACAAGTTCCTATGTAATTTTCACTTCACAAATTCTACTTTAAAGGCCCCAATGCTTTTGGTCAGGAGTGCAACAAATATTTTAGAATTATAAATCATCCAATAAGAATAAAAGTAAAGAAAACATGATGAGTAGAATTTTTCTGGTGGGTTATTGTGTTTGTCTTCTAAAGGAAATTATGCTATAAAAATATCTTTTATCTTCTAAATATACATTTAAGTTATTTTTTTGGCATAAATGGGGAATCATTCCTGATAAAATGCAAATTTTATATACTTTTCATCTGTTTTAATTATGTAGTATTGGATTATGAATATTGCACAATTTCATTACCACTTGATGTTGCCAACACTTTATGAATTTTTGTGTTATATGGTTTTAATTTCAAATTTTACTGCAGTCAGGAGTGCAACAAAACTGCTTTATAATTACCAATGCTTTTTAATTATCTTTACTAAAAAATAAGTGGAAAAAAATGTTTGATACTATTTGATGTTCAAAACGCTATGTCTATCAACAAATTACAGAAATTTTACTGTCAATTCAGGGAATAGTTTTCATCATTTCACCTATATTTTTAAATACAATTTATATATATTACACTTTGCAAATAATCATGTTTTAAGGTCTCCAAAATATGAAAAACCAGCCGTAAACGATGAAAAATATCAAAACGACAAATTGATTTACAAAGTAAGAATGGGATATTGTGTGTAATAATTTTTAAAACAATGTTAAATAAAATACTTATCAGATTTCAGGAGTGCAACACAATAATGTTACATAGGGTCACTTCAAATTCTATTATTTTTTGTAAGAGAACTCGTATATAAAAATTCTTTTTTGGCTTATAATTAGATTTAAAGAATTGACTTGAACGGACAAAAAAGTGAATTTTGGGGAATTTTATTGCTTCATATTTTTTTCATATTAAAACTTTACAAACCAGAATTGAAAAAAATAATGTAAAATAACAATCAAAAAGCCAATTTTTGTCAAATATACAAAAGAAGATAGTCAATCAAGGTCTAGATTTAATCATTTATACCCCTTGTACCATTTTGAAGCATATAAAACTATAATTTCTTGTGATTATGTATTTTAGAAAGTATTTTAAGGTATAATGATATTTTCTTTTTTCAAAAGAAATTTTACTAATAAAAATTCTGAAACTTTTTAATCCAATTGTCTATTCTATTGCCACTTCAGGATGATTTTAAACTAGAATGCATTTGCAATATGATGATATAAGTGACAAATATGTTACAAGTAGTTGCATTTTCCCAAAATATTCAGTTTGGTGGTCATTTTTTTTAATTCACCCATGTGCAAAAAGTGCAGAGGTGACTCTTTTTATTTTTAACAAATGATTGGTGGTGGCCTATTAGTTTTCAATTAAAGGATATAGGATTTAGATTTTTGGAGCAAGTTTTGTTAAAATTTAGCACAAGCTTCTAGATTTGCATATAATTTAACTGTAAATGATAAATTTCTTTCTTCATTCGGCTTTTGAACAGCATCGTTTTCGTCACCTTCCATCTACTGACAGGTACTAATATATAAGAAAAAAAGAACAAAAAACATGCTGCCTTTTCAGTGGTCGTTAGAAGTTTTACGGTTTGAATCTTGACTGAGATTCAGCTTTTGACAGCTTCAGCGAAAGCGTCAGTTCAAATATCATGTAGATAAGCCGAATCTCAGTCTAGGTTAGACTTTTTATGTGTTCAGTTTTATGGTGTAAACGGAGATTCAATTTACAAATGAACCCATCACTTTTAGTTAAAATTATTTACACAAAATACTTGTTATATTTTATATTTCATACATTTTGATTGTTTAAGTTGTCTTAAATTATCTTAAAATATAAATACCTGTCGTTGAATCTTCCATTCTGGTCTTTTGTTTGAAATGAATATCTGGACTGTTTTGTACTAAATTGTGATACAGTTGTAAAGAGTTTATCTTCTGAGGACTCTGCTTGTGAATAAATTGTCATAGGGTACACGTGTGAAAATACAGAACACTTATGAGATTATGAACCCCCGTTCGAATTGAATTAATTCCTTAGCAGAGAACATTTAACACATATCATTAGGTTTCCATCAATATAATGATTTTATGTTTAAACCGTTCCCTTCAGAATATATCCTTCATTATATTTAACAGAATATCCATTCATTTAGCTGGGATAAAATGTTTAGACACGTTAATGTAAGTTTTGGTATAATAATTTCAAATGGATAAATGTAGTAAATGCGACTAGTTTTCAGAGAGTAGGAGTGAAGCAAACAAATTAAAATATATGTACGTATGTATCTGAATATAAATCAAAGCAGTGTTAAATCCTAGAATGCGTTACTTTAGAGTTGCTAACAAGGGCGGAAGCGTTCCGACAACAAAAATTGCGTGGCATTTTTTAAATATTGTCAGGGAATAATAAAAAACAACAAAATTTTATGATAACTGTGACATGTGTGATGACTTCAAATTTTCTACCGTCAAATTCCCTTAATTATGTAACAATATACCATTATCACCTGCATATGTAGTTCATGTTTCCCAGTTGATTAGGTACAAAAGCACGTTCTATGTAAACATTATCTAAAATGAGACAAGCTATTGACAAATAAGTCAATGATAGAAGATGTCAACGGTCTCGTTTAAAGTCAACATTTCGCAAATTCTATGATCGATATAATGGCCTTGTTAGAAAACAATCTATAGTTAAGTCGAATGTTGACTGATGTTTTTCATACAAATTGTTAAGCCATTATTTTTACACTGTTTTTTCGTTTGCCCGATCATGACAATGAACACACGGCGGGTGTGACCGGTTAACAGGGGATACTTGCTCCTCCATAGCACCTGATCCCACCTCTGATGTTCGTTGAGGTCCATGTTTGCTTTGCTACCAATTTGTATTGTTCCAATGGACTTTTGAGTTTGATTACTGTTCGTTATCTTCATATTTCACTTGAAGGTTTTTTTTTTCTTTTCATTTCAGTTTCAGATAAACTTAGACTATTAAAATGTTTTGGTGCTTAAATATGTGATACTGCACTTGATTTTCGATGACTCAAAATTAAGATCTCATGAAATTGACTTTCATCACTCTCAAAACAAGATAAAAATGTGTCGTAAGGTAACCAAACTTGGAATGAGTGATGCAATGATTTAGTGAATATGGATTAATTTTTGTATTTGAAATATTCGCGATCAGGAATGAGTTGATTCCACAAAATCAGCTGTGATTTTAATGCAAAGACATGAGCGTCCGTCTACTGCGATAAAATACGGTGAACACAACGATCCAAAAACTAATGAATAATGAACACCTGGAGCACCCGCTAATCCAAAATGCACATTTGAAGAACAACTACCTCGTCTGGGAAACAACTTATTCATCAGGAACATTGGGGGCGTTATGTTAAGTGATACTTATAGTGTGTGATATATGTACTTTAGTTTTCAGGAATAGACAGATTTGATCGATTGATTTATTTATTGTATATTGTTTTACGTCCCATTCGAGAATTTTTCACTCATATAGAGACGTTACCATATATCGGTGAAGGGCTTCAAATTTTGACCTTTACTCGGCACTCAGGGCCATTGAGCAGTGAGGGATCTTTATCGTGCAAACGCCTGCCGTGACGGGTCTCATCCGAAGGATCCGCAACTTTCACTTCAAAGTGCCGAGCGCATGGCGAAGGAACAGTTGCTGCCCATTTTGATCAACTTAGGTCAGTCGCGGCCGAGATTCGCACTCACGACCTCCCGATCACGGAGCGAGCGCTCTACCGACTAGACAGATATGAGATGGTTGTAAATTAATTTACTTTATGTGTTTAATTTCCTACTTTAGTTTCCCATTTTAAAGGAAAGTCTGGAAAATGAAAGGATCTAATGTTTTCCCTAGATGATAATGCAGCATTTAAGGTGACATTACTGTATAGGGGATTAATTCTACGGGTTGTAATTTTCACGTTTTTTCTATCGTCTGACACAATCGCAGTTTGATGAATTCACGGAATTAGTGTATTTTTTTTTAAATGAAAACTACCTATTATTCCCCCGATCCGTGGCAATATTTAAATAATGAAATAATAGCTTTGACGATAAATTAAGGTCGAATGACTTCCCTGATTGCTACAACGATAGGTGGTATTTTACTCCCCCCCCCCCCCGTCCTCTCTCCCAATTGTTATAAAAAGGCAAATCCGACGCCTGTCACCCAAAATTCTCCTTTCCGAAGGAAAATATTGAGATCATATCGAAAACCACTGGGGACTGTGTTTCGTCGACGAAATAATATTATCCCTTATCTAAAGGAAGTTCGAGACTTACATGAATAAATAGAATTTCAAAAAAAGCTAACTTAAAATTTCTATGCAATTAAGTGACAAGTGCTTAGGGTAGGTAGTTACGTGCGGGTAAGCAACATCCACAACCCTTGTGTTTTGATCAAACAACTAGCGTTGTCTTTAAATTGCTAGTTAACGATAAATGCAGGTCAATATCTGCAGATTTGAATTTCAGTAAAACACATCTATTAAAATAATTGAAGAAGTACAACTCATAATTTCTGAATGACTACGTAATATATGCCTACTGGTAGTCTGGACTCATACCTAACACCCCCATCCCCCAACCCCCTCCCAATAAAAACGAAAAGAACATTATTTTAAATTTATTCACTGTTTCTTGAATTCATGGAATAATTCAAAACCTGAAAATATTGAATACTTACACTAGGAGTTATTTTCCCCCTGTAGTATTCTTCAAGAGGTCAGTGAAACGACAATTATAATTACACATGAAAACATGAACCAGAGATCTTGACCACATAGCTCATTAAAAAAAGTAAAAATCTAATTTAAAAAAACGGAAAAATTATGTCTATTGGTATAATTTTTAATTAAACCTTAATAATAATGTATTTCCAACACTCAATATAACATTTAATCTTCAAATCCACAACAGTCATGTATCATACCATTGTTTTATATGCATGCTTCTAAAGATATACGAGGGTTGATAGTAATACGTCTATCTATTTTGACTTATGTCCTAAAATTTCATTAAGATATTTGCAATACTTAATAAAATACTAAACTTAACACAACCTTTGGTCTCGTCTTTTGCCGTAGGGCAAGAATATACAAACGTCGTTATGACGTTTCTCTTCGACACTCATTTTGAATCTGATGATACATAAGATTTACGCAAAAAGGAATGGATTTAGAAATTACGTTTAGACAAAGTTCAAATAGTTTTTATATTTCAACTCAAAACAAGACGGTTTATACCAAACATGGCAGTAAAAAATATGAAAAAGAACCACGTGAGAGCTTAAAAAGATATATGCGGATGAACTAAAAATGAGTGCCGAAAAGTAAGGTCATTGCTTCGTCGATAATAGTCTTGCCGTGTAGCGATAGACAAAACTTAACATTGTTTTTATCTTAATTTTTTATCGAAGTATTTTATATAATCGAATGAAATTTTAAGGCAAATTCAAAATAGATAGGAATATTTGTACGTGAAATTTTGTTGATAACATTCTATTAATAAAGATTTTATAGCAGTTGTGACGTTACTATTGGATTAACTCTCGTATTTAGTTTCTGTCAATCATTACATTTTAAAAAAAAAAACTAGACTTCGAAAAAAATGGATGTCTTTGATACAACTGTATGCAAAAAAGTTATCTTTTGACAATAACCAAGGTTGGTTCCAACATTTATGTAATGAGATCTTTCTGAGCATGAACAAATACATTTGGATAAAGGGTTGTCATCAAAGTTTAAAACTATTCTTGGCTTCCATATTTTTAAATATAAAATATACTTTTTGTATATAGAATTGATTCATAGTAAAAATGCACAGTTACGGGTGACACTTAAAAAACAATGGGTAAGTGCAAATTGCTGTCCTCCTGTGCTATTGTCTCTTAAAATTTTGTTTCACTTTGAGTCCATTGACATTTAATTATACCTTTGAAATTTGAAGTAAATATCTTTTTGAAGATGCAAACAAAAAGGAGGAAGTTTTGAACGGAAGCAGGAGAAGATCGGTATCTTTTACCACAAATCATGACGTCACTTCCAAAACTCCTACGATTGTCAATTCGTCCAGCCATCATCCTGAAGGGCTTCTGGACAAGTACCTTTCCTGCCGGTGGGTCGTGACTTACATGTGTACTCTGGTTTTTGTAGTTGTGCCAATGCTACAGAACTGTTTATCAATGGTTCTAGTCTGTATGGAATCAAACTACAAGAAGTCATCGATAATCTTGAAGTACAACCAATCAAACACCACCAATAATATTACAGCGCCTGAGGAACAGAGTGTAATTATTTTAAATGTTTATTTGTTTGGCATAATCATTGAAAACAGAGTAAAACTAATACATGTAGCTGTAATCATATTTTCCATAACTTTTAGTATGTAACTAGAGAAAAATACTGTCTTGCAAGGTATTTTTATTATTAGACAGTTATGGTGATTCTTTAAATTGCACTTTGAATTTCTATTGATCCCTGGGAAAAAAGAAAATTTTAGTTAATCAAGTTGTAGTTTGGAAACTTCGAGAGCTCTAAGCTTATATTGAATACAAACAATGGATGACCACGACATAAACGCTTTTTACAGAAATACATTTAGGTATGAATAGGATTAAAACAGAATTCACGTTACACAAAAGCATGGTCATCAAGCTAGTATCACCTATTCGTTTAAATAGTGTGTAGACATTAAAGCTCGTTCGATGATAAATATTCACGAAATGTTTCATCACCAACATGCTTACGTAGTGTATGTATTTTTACATATGCAACGAAATTAGTAATAATATACAGAAGCAATTATTTTTAACGAACCTTGACTTTATTTTTTAATTACATCATTGACCTAAATATGCACAATTACGGTTCATAATACTTCAACTTTTCTCAATTCTCCAGCATCAATATCTCCATGTCAGTAAACTTCCCAACATTGTAGTCTGTGTTCTAATGACAAAGAACATTAACTATTGTTTCTAGGTATGGAACATTCGACTAGAGGGTGACATCAGAAGTCAGATTCTATCGGCGGAGTTTTACGCTTTACCGTTTACACCCCTGATTGGTGGATATTTATCCGGGAGATTTAGCGCCAAAATGATTATTATTGTTATAGTCCTCCTGATGGCCGGCTCTTCATCTGCCACGCCCATAGCATTAACAGTCAATCCCTATATTGCCATCGGGCTTAGATGTATTGTTGGCCTCTCTTTTGTAAGTGATAAAAATGATGAATCTGAGGTACTGGATGAAAGTTTGGCATAATGTATTATAATAATTTTTATATATTTTAATAAGTTGTCATTTCTATTTTATAGGGTGGTTTACAAGCCAGCATCACTGAGTTGTTGGCGAAGTGGGCGCCACTGAATGAACGGGCGCAAATTGTCTCAACGGTCGTGGCAGGTAAAAAAAATCATTTCATTTCAGTGAAATTCAATTTATCGAGGCAAGATATGTTATTTATTATTTCGATATAAATTAAATACGTTTGAAAATGTTTATTCATCTTATCACATACTTATCCCTTTTTCTAGCAAGTATAGTCACTGGTTATTGATTCTTTTTTCATATCCCTCTATTTCAACACCATGTGGATATAGGTGTGCATTTCATGTACGATTGTGGTTAGATTTACTAACAATGCATTATGTTAAAAGCCATGAAATAAAAGTGAAATAAATAAAAAATAATAAATTATCACTTAATGTTTTTAACAGCATAATATTCCTGACATTGTTTAGCTTTGTAAGACAGTGGACAGGAAAGCGAAAGAGGTTAAAGCATTAAAAGTAGGTGAAATAAAAAAAAAAACTCCTTCGACGAGAACTTACATAGGCTTAAATCCTGTTATCCAATCCAATTCTAAAGAAAAAGAAATTTATTATATAAATCTCTCTTGTATGTTTATGATTTGAAATGGTTTTTATCTAATGAGCTATGCTTTTTTCTAAATCAATGCCAAGGGTTCAGGAATAGAAAACATAACATTTTTGGATAAAAAAAAAACATACCCAATTATAAAATATAAATAGAAGACCCTTTATTTATTTCACTTTCATTTTATACAACATAAACTTTAAAAGAGGTCTACTCGTGACTATACAGACTTGGACAGATATTAGTTGACCGAGAACACAGGTCGAGTTCAACCAATACGGGAGCAATTCAAAGTCTTATGAAGATCAGGATCAGTCAACAACAGCTACAAAAGATCATTTTGTGGACTTCAACCAAAAATTACAAATTCAAAGATTGTACATCAAAGTCTGTGAACGTTCCGCTGATCCTTTTTGCTTTCAGATAGCAACGGAAAAATTCTACAAATGAAGGCTGTGTTTCTTCTCCTTGTATTTACTTATAATAATTCTTTTCTAACAATATTTGCTACTGTTCCGTCTTTGAGATACTGGCGAATCTGCCATCTGCCATTTTACGTTTACAAACGAAACATGCTTTGAAATGAGCAACTTGATTGGTCGATAATGAAATATATCAAATCTGCAATCATTCAGAAGGGAAACACCTATAAACCTCCCAAAATTTATTTGAAGGTGCACTTATTCGGAGGTAAACATAAAAAGATCGTCTGAACCAATGAGGGAGCATCAAAATTTGTAAATAGCAAATTATGACAGTGTAATGATACAATTAATTTTTCAGGTTTATTTATTAGCTTCATTGTGAATTATTCTGCCTCTGGTTTTATCTGCACCATCCCTGTACACAATGGCTGGCCACTCATTATGTACATCTTCAGTGAGATATTTATTTTATAGCTTTATAAAGTTATCAAAATCATATAAATTTGTATATCATGTATATTGTTCAATACTGATGAGTTGAATCGTTTCAATTTGAAACAATTGCTTTTGACTCTAAAATACTTTTTTCAACCATTTTTAAGGTGCTTCCAACCTTCTAATGTTAATACCCTGGGTAATCTTGGTCTATGATAGTCCATACGAACACCCTCGAATTACTCCGCCGGAAATAGAAATTATTCGACATCGGAGACGAGACAGCACTGTAGCTAAAGTGAGATGATCCGTGTTCTCTCTTTTAATGTCTTTTACACGCTCCTCGTGTACAAATTGGTCTTTACTTAAATGTTTATAACTAATCCACCCATTGATCTAGATGTCACACCCACCATGGATCGACATTCTCCGATCTGGACCTTTCTGGGGAATATTTTTCTGTCAACTTGGCTACGGATTTATTTCTACAACAACTGGCACTTTTGTACCTCTCTACCTTAATGATGTTCTAAAATTCGACGTAACTTCGGTATGATCAATGATTTGTTTTGATTTTTTTCAAATACTTATGCAATGTATATACAGTCATGTTAATAGGGTTTGTGTCTTGATTACTTGAATCCAGAAATAAATCCAGTAATTCAGTTCTAATTTAAGACTTTCTCAAAGTTTACAAGGAGCATTTTATAATAAATGCCTTTTTTCGTTTTGGGATTTTACACCTCACTGTATACTTCTACATGATACTTACAGAATGGTCTGTTGTCCTCCCTACCCTTTATTGCCCGCCTCCTGTCATGTCTGGGTGGAGGGCATGTCGCTGACCTTCTCATCGCTCGAGGAATTCTCTCAACCACCGCTGTCAGAAAATTATTCCAGACCACAGGTTCAACAGAACATATCACAAATTCAACATCTCTTTTTTTTTGCTAGGATTTTGATACATAGATAAATCATTTTCTTAAATTTAAAGAAGTCAAATACTCTCTTAATCATCACGGTAATATGAATTGTCTTCGAATGAATTTCATTTTTTTTTCTTCATTCACTTCATTATTTGAATTACTTCATTAAAATTGTAATTAGCCATATAGTTTTTAAACAAAAGAGTTGAAAGCATATGACCATCAAGCGATATATTATTTCTTATTTCCATCAATCACAGAGGAAATATGTATTTACATGTGACATGTTCTAAAACTTTATCCTTACTTATAAATTTATATACTCATCATCATAAATATGCATACACATCGTTTGGATTTCACAAACTGGAGATCTATCATGGCTCAACAGTTATAAAGATTTGGTAACGAAGACGAATGAAATATGAAGATAACGAACAGTAATCAAATTCAGTTAAGTCGATTAGAACAACACGAATTTGAAGTAGAGCAAACACGGACCTCTAAAACATCAGAGGTGGGATTAGGTGCCATGAAGGAGTAAGCATCCCCTGTCACATCTGCCGTGTGCCCCTTGTCATGATCGTATAAACAGAAAAGTCCATAGACAATTCAGTGAGAAAATAAATTCTTATTATCTTAAATAAAATCTGAAACCTTTAAAATTTTACTCCTTTAACACATTTCCTACAAATATAGCTGAAACCTGATGAATGAACGACAAAATAAAGTTTTTAAGACTCGAGCAACGGGATTACAACTGACTGGTTTCACACACCCCTCGTCTCACGTTTATTATATTATATGATATTGCAGGAAACATTCTGTCTGTTCCATTCTTAATTGGTCTCAGTTACATGGACAGTTCCCAGGCGACCTATGCTGTCCTGCTCCTTGTCATCTTCTGGTTTATTCAGGCTCTCAACACCAGCAGCCTCAAGGTCAATGTAATCGACATAGCACCAAGGTATAAATTTTACTAAATAGATAAGTGCACATTGTACAAATTAAAAAGTGTGGAAATTAAAAAATAAAATGTGTCAAAATGGCCCTTAAACGCTTCCGTATACCAGTGGAATGTTGAAAACCTATGCTAGTCAATACAAGTGTGTAAGAACTCCCTCCCTGGGTGTTTTTATAGGTTTGCGGGTGTGTTAACAGGCATGACGGGCACCGTGTCATACATAGCAGCCATGCTGTCCCCCATCGTTACGTTTGAACTCACCAAAAACGTATGTCTGTCTACAATGGACTTTTGAGCTCGAATACTGTTCGTTATCTCCACATATTTCATGCAAGGAATACATTTAAAGATTCAAGTTTTTCCATCAGTTCTCTTTGCGTTCGAGAGTTAGTGATTCATGATAAAAATTTATTTATATTCATTGAATAAATTCATTCAATTTTTGCTTATAGAGAACCCAGGAAGAATGGCAGATCGTTTTTTACATTTGCGCCAGTTTGTCCGTTTTCAGTGCTTTGATGTTCCTCGTCCTCGGCAGTGGGGTAGAACAGTCGTGGGCAAAAGACCCCTCGTCGGAGGAGGAGATTTCTGTTAATGACCCAGTCAAACAGTCATCGGAGTCAGTTATGAAATATGAGATCCAAATTAACACAAATGGTCACGTGATTGAAACTCATGACAATGAACGGCCGACTACTGAGACAGGAATAAATACGGAACTAGAAATTATCCATTTGAATAGTAATGTAATGTCTAAATTCATTTCTCAAGATGTGCAGGTAAATAAAGGTAACACAGGTATTAATGAAAGGAATAAAGATCAGGCTTTCCAGGCTTCCATCATTGGCGAGTTAATTCCTACTGGAGTAACCAACAACGCATTTGTTGTTGATGATGATGATCAAACCAATCCTAACATTGAAATTAATTCGTCAGGAATCTGGACATGCTCGACGGAAATGGTTGGGTCGCAAAAAAGAATTCAAGAACCAACTAAATTCCAGAATAACCACGAAATGACAATTCCTAATGAAAGTGAGGTTACCATGTTGTAAGATGTTGTGTGAAATCACAGAGAATTTATACTGTATATTTGTGTGAAGTATGCATAGATAATTTAGCCATATAGTCCATGTCTGAGTTTGTGACAATAAATTAAATACGCTGTAATAAGTTCTGGCAATAAACATAAATAAGCTAGTTCTACTTCTGTTGTTGATGCGAAATCAGACTGAAAACTACTCAGTAATTGTCGGTAAGAAACACAATTACACTTTTCCTAATTGTCTCGACAGGGGATGCTTATCCCCCTAAGAACATGATCCCGCCTCTGGTGTTTCCAGGGGTGCGTATTTTTGCCCTGTTCACAATTCGTATTGCTTTAGAGGAATAATGAGATTAATCACTGCATGTTCGTTATCAGTTTGAGCTCATCTGAACCTATGGAGTTAAATTTTCATAGATTGACTTTTCATGATTCGTCGGGCCATTTTCTATCAAATATTACTAGTTCTGCAAAGTTTCTTTTTTCTTACATAAAGAAATTCTGGTGTTTGAAATTCTGATGTCTTGCCCTTTTGCTAAGAAAGATAAAAAAAAATTCAGTCGGTTTTAAAAGCTTTTTTCTTAACACCATTCATTTTAACCAAACTTGGGACAAGGCATCGTTAATTAGATTCAGATTCAGAAATTCTCATTTCTCACACGGTCTGTAATGCCTTAGCCATTAATTAAAAATGTCTTTGCAACACTTTATACTTAGCTTTGCTAACAATTGTTCGAGTTGTAAGTGTTTTCTAAATGACCAAAACAGTGAAGCGCACATCACTTTTCATGAGGTAACTAACTCTTTTGACCAGGTTTTTATTAATAACTCGTTTCCTTGCAGACCGTCCATCGTCCAATTCAATGTCTCTGACAAATCAAAAATGGCTTTGCCATTGATATATGTACATACGCACGGCTCACTTTTCATATATTTCCGAATTCCATCAGCATTTTCAGAGTTTGTTTTAGAGGTTTCCCGAGTTCAAAACAAAATAATATCCTTATTCGCTGCTCCGTGACTTACGTCAACGTCATCTTTTTTATTATCTGTCTTCTGAGAATTCTTTTCAACGAAGCAATGTATTACGTTATAAACTGGCATCTGAAATTATATACCAAAAACTAATTTAAACGTTTAAATTTTATTTCGTTTAAGTGACATTTATTAGAAATATAACTATAAACATTATTAAGTGTTTTGTAGTTAATTAATCAGCTTTTGCTGAGCTCGGCGACCCCATTTCCAATCTGAAATTTTAGTTAATGTTGATATATAATGATATATTTGAATTTTTTATTCAAATTATTTGGATTTATTGTTCAAATGTCTGCCAAATTTGGTTATAACATGATGTTGAAAAGTTATGAAAAAATCCTACGTATTTTTGGAATGACCCTCGTACATATAAAACAAATAGTTGTTCAAAAAACAATAATCATTTTAAAAGTTGTATAGATATTGAATAATACACCATTTATTATATCTACAGAAGGGAACTAATAGGTTGAAAGAACTTGATTTCGATTTTATTGATTATTTGTCAATAAAATACGTTTTAAAACAATTGATTCACATCTTCCTCTACCTGTGCTTGCACGAGTTAATGTCTATTGATAATAAAAATTATCAGCTATTTGGGGATTAAAATAGATTTCATCCACCTGCATGTCCTCTGTATCTTTTGTCTTATCGCCAATGCTTTGAGGTTATAGAAAATGCACGACTTGTTGAGTAAGAATTATATTTATTCGTATTAATAATGTCATTAACAAAATTCATCGAGTGATCAGCATGTTTATATAATATATCTTTTACAATAGACATGAGATTCCATCCATTATTGGAGACGAGTAATCTCTAACTTATGTTCAAGTCGTGTGACTTAATTATGTTATCGTTACTATTCGGTAAATAAAACACGGTAGAGATAATTTACGATTGCTCTAAGTACATCATTATTTCTGTCTATTTGATGTACTTCAACTTATTTTCTTTTCTTATCAAACGATTCAACAATTGTTCTTTTAGATACATCAATTCATTTTTCTTCATCAAAGGCTTTCTTTACAATTCTTCCTTATTTGCTGGGACAATGATCTTATTCATTGCATCATTGGCATCTTCATTTTTCTTTCTTCAAAGGTGTTTGTACCTTCTCTGTTGAAATGCTGTATCATTTCCTCGGTAGTTGATGTATCATTATTGATATTCATATTGGGGTCTTTCGCCCCAATCCTGCTCCAGTCCACTGCCGAGGAGAACAAAGGCTAGGGCTCCTGCAATACCCACTCCAGAACATATGAAGAAGACATTCTACTATTCGTGTTCCCTAGCATAAACGCTAGAATGCATTAATATTTCGTTCATTTTTTTGGTATCGTACAAATTCAATTTATTACAGGTCCTCCATTGAAAGTCAATGAAACTTCAAAGGATATAAAGTATATATCTAGAAAGCAAACAGACTGTTGCATAGTTTGCAGTACGAATAAGACTAACCAGAGCAGAATTCGCTCAAATAACATTTCGTTTAGGAGCACAGATTCTTAAATCCAACATGCACCAAACATACGTTAAAACTTTCTATCAAAATGTGATTCATACTTACCGGTATTTGAATCCGGGAAACTTCCAAACTGTTACATATTGGTCCAAAGTTTCTTTTTCTTATTTTCCAAGATAAAAATATTGTTTTTCTTCTTTATATACATGTAAATAACTAAAACTGAATTTCCTTCTTTCTAAAGTTCATAAAGTTAATAAAATGGCTATTTTTTGTTAAATAAAAATAACTATTAGAGAAAGACAGAAAGAGTGGTCCCTCTTTCTTTTTCCAACCACCTATCCCATAGGTGCGTCCTTACAAAGCTGCATTTGCTACAGTGTCTATTTGCGCACGGTAGCCATTTGTAAACAATTGCTGTCACACTATGTTGTAGATCCTCCTACTCATTGTTTTAAAAGATAAAAATTTATTTATTGTACTAAAAACACACTTCTTAACAATCATTTTCTTTTTATCTTAAATCAGTTGCTAACGCTAAGCATATCACAAGATTAACATAAGTAAAAACAAAAATAATAAGCGCAATAAATTTAGAGAGTTTATCTACCGAGGATAATCCCATTTAGCATCGTCAGACCACGACGATAAATGGACTGACTGTAGAGGCAGTGGATGTGAGCACAGACAAGGTACGTATCAGACACGGGCGTCATAACAATCACAAATATCTTCCCAATGGATAAGGCATAATGGGAAAGAAAATGTTATTGTAAAATCAGCTCTCCATTTATCTGTCCCAGAAAATGTCCCCAAAGCTGGAAATTTAATGGAAACTAATAAATAATGATAATTTGATGGAAATACATATCGGCTTTGTGTGGCAATAACTGCAAACGCCATCATGTTGCTTTTAAACAAAGATAAATGAATAATTTTATTATTATTATTCATTTACAAAAATTAGCTATGACTTTTTTTTAAACCGTCTCAGTGTAGAATTACTTGTTCTTCTGTTCGAGTTGTTTCCCATGCCAATAATGTTTGCGGTAGGGTTGTAGTTGGATTCCATGCAGATGACTGCCATACTCATACTCATACACTGACATAACATGATAGAACACGTGACGATTATAAAACACCATCCAGCGACATGATGTATATTTCTCTACGAGACCTTGATTCAGAAGTTCCTTGAAAACTGTGGAGGAATTTTGAAAGGATGTCACAGATTCGCTGTACTCTTTCCCGTTGGATTCAATCTCGTTTGTGAAGGAAACTCTTGATGGCCCTTTTATTAACCACCTGGGGAACCTTTCTCCATGATATGATGCTTACGTCACTCATAAAAATAACAGTAATGAAATATGGAGATAACGAACAGTAGTCAACCTCAAAAATCTACTGAAACAATACAAATCGGCTCAACAGACCTCTGAAAGCAACAGAGGT